CAGTTTTGACGGAATATTTCATCATCTTCTCTGGTGAGGCTCCGTCACCGTCGCCTGGGCCGGAAAATCGGGGAAATTTCAAATCGTGATATCTTCTTCGTTTTTCAACCAAATTTCACGAAATTGGTACCAAATTGAAGCTTGCAACAAGAGGAACAAGTTCATACCACTTTCAAGTGCTAAAATCCACGAAATCTCGTCGGGAAAACACCACCAACTCCGGCCAACCTCGAAACTCACGATCCCGACGTCCAAAACCTTCAAACGAACCACCCCGATCCTCCTAAAGACCTCACCAAGCTTCCTACAAGCTTGAAATTCCCAAAAACATAAGAATTTACATGTGCATAAACAGTGACAAAAATCAGGTATCCCGAGTTCGACGTGAAAACGAAGGTATCCTTACCTGAAATGCGTATGGTTGAACTTCTACGGACCTCACGAGCATGGATATGTACTTTGTTTCTTCGATCTGTGAAGATTTGATGGGTTTTGAGGTATGTCTGTACGTATTGGATGGAAATGAGAGGGAGAGGGAGCTCGGGACAGGGTGCAGGGCAGGGGAAAAGGGTGTGGGGTGTGGGAGAGTATGTGTGTGGCCCAAAACCTGCCAACAAAACCACAAAAACAACCACACAACGAAAAATCACAATAGGGGCAAAATTGTCTTTTCATGCGTACGTTTTAAAAATTCCGGAACGGGCTGTCACACGAAGCTTTGCATGTAACATGGAGACTTGTCACAAGGTGTTTGAACAAGTGCTCCGTGCGAGAATGTGAAGGTAAAACAGTCACACATTAGTGAAAATAAAAGCTTTGTATGGGCTTTTATAAGTAAGTTGGGTTACTCCTCATATTGTCAATTGGTTTTATAGTGGAACCTCAATTTTCTTCATGGTATTAGAGCAAGGTTGGCCCACGTGTGAAGCTCAACGGCCTCACGTGCTTCACGTCGCCCAATTTGTATTGTTCATGTGTTTGGCTTGAAATTCACCAAACGGGAGGAGGCGTGTGAAAATATGAAAGTAAAATAGTCTCACATTGGTGAAAGGTTGCATGGGCTTACAAGTAAATTTGGTTACTCCACAGATTGCCAATTAATTTTATGATGAAACTTCAATTTTTTTAAGTGCACCTTCCTAACTTTATTTAATGATATGACCAAATTTTAGGTCATTCCAAATTAATGAAGAGTTTTATTACGGAGGCTCTTGTTTAAATAAAATCTAGGTACATTTCACTTCCACTTCCACTCGGAAAAGTTCCTAGAATTGCCACGGATGACAGCATTGATTGAGGGGTACGGAGGGACGGAAGGGGAATAAAGTGTTGCATTGGTTGATATAAAATTAATAATTTAATTTTGTTTAAATGGAATCATGTGAGTAGACTAGCAGCCAAGTGCTGCTTAATTTTTTATTTTTATTTTTAAGATTATAAAGGTTCGTTTGTTACACCAGACTATCTTGGATTGGACTAGCTTAAAAGACTAAACTGGACTGTCTTAGCATGGACTAAGCAGGACAAGAATAGTAAAATATTTGGTGCAATATCGAACTAAGTCACGGACTAAATTATTTTTAGAATCTAAATATTTTTTTTACTACTTTTTAATTATTTTATTACTTTTTTATTCAGATATTTTCATTGACTCAATCTAGAGAGTTCCATAAGCTGCATGATCTCCAGATTTCTCCAAAAACTGATCACCGATTTCCCAAAAAAAAATCTTGTCCATCAATGGCCTGCAACAAATTCAAGCCTTTTCATTTCGTTTCTTCTTCCCCTGCAATTCTACCAAAAATTGCCAAGGATGCTTGCTTTCCTTGGATCTCAATAGAAACCAATTTCTCAGCTTTCCTACCAACCAAACAAAATTAAACCCCCCAATAAAAAATACAGGAAATCAAAGAATTAACCTCCAGAAACTCGGAGGAATTGAATCAAGGAGTGCTAGAACAAGATATTCCTTGGAGGTGAATCAGAGGACTGCTAGAGCAAGACGGACAACAAAGAAAGCGGGATCTTCCTCATTCGAAATTCTGGGTTCAAGGCGAGAGAGAGAGAGTGTGTGGTGTTGGGCTAGCAGTGTATCTCGCTAAAGTTGGGAGTGGTGGTGTGATGGTGGTTGTCGGTGCTCAAGAAAACGGAGAGCCGAGAGTGGATGAAAGGAGAAGAGGACAAACCAGACGAAGGGCTTAGCAGTCCCATGGTCTCAAGGCGCTCTCGCTAAGACCTCCTAGTGAGGGAAATAGTCTGAGCGAATCCCCTTTAGTCTCGTTAACTTTAGTTCGTGCACGCAACAAACATGGGATTTCACTGATAGTTAATACAGTCTAATCTAGTGAAAGATAGTGAGCCCAAACAAACACACCCTAAGGGTTTTATATTACGGATTTGGATCCTGTCCTGAGCTAATGGAAAGAATCCTCCTGACCAATCATCGTGGACCGTTGGATTTTTATCCAACGGCTACAATCATTACAACTTTAACGGGACACCCTGTTTGTAGCCATTGGATAAAAATCCAACGACCCACGATGATTGGTCAGGAGGATCCTCTCCATTAGCTCAGGACAGGATCCAAATCCTTATATTACCCATAAAATAAAATAAAAAGTTGGCACTCGTCAAACATAAGAGTAAGAGTTGCAAATTTTGAACCGTTGATGGTCGAATAGGGGCTTTGAATTTTGAAGGCAAAGGGGTTAACCCACTTTTTACTCTTTTTATTTTTGAACAAATCTGAAAACACCATCCCTACTCACCAAAACTCTTTCATATTCCTCAGTTCTTACTCTCCAACAACCCACCAAAATTGTTTTCAAAAAAAAATAAAAAACAAAAAAACAAAACAAAACAAAAAGACCTTCCTCAATAGCCAATCATTGTTTGTTTTTTTTTTTTTTCGGTTGCCCTTTTTAACAAAGATTTTCTTATGTGAGAAAAATAAGCCCCCTCCTTTGAAGTATCCTAACATTCTAAATTATGAATTCCTTATCCCATCCATAATTAATCCCCTCTTTCATCTCAATTAAGATCTAAAAACAGTTTAAATTTAGAGATTTGTGTCTATGCATTATATAAATCTCGACATTTAAACTTATCTAACTATATAAATAGGAAATTATTATTGGTACTTCAAAATTCTCATTTAAGACTCTAAACTTTTTTATTTTAGAAAGGAAAATACACTTGTGAGGAATGCAAATTGAGATTTTTGAAATGCTAATAACAGTTTCTTATAAATTATGTGATGAACATCACCATCACTTGAAAGTCGTAAAAAAAATGTTTCCCTTTTATGATTGTGTGCCCAATCTAACCACCACTAAGATAGCAACTAGATCCTAAAATTACCAATCATAAAAATCCATACAGAGAATAACCATCAGACAAACCAAGGTGGAACAACCAAATCAAAATAATTTCTCCCAAATGAATGACTCGTTTAAAAGTGTTTTTAAAATGACTGAAAATAGTTTTGGTGAAAATATTTTTGAAACTAATCCTTAGTTAAATTCAAGTGAATCCTAGAAAAACGTTTAAGTACTTTTTGTAAGAAGCATATATTCAGTGATTCCTTCAAAAAGCATTTTAATTGCTTCTGAAACCTAATATCTATTTCACTATAAGCACTTTCTGTCATTTTAAAAACATTTTCAAACTACGTTAAATTGATTTTCAACACAATGTAACCGTAATCAAAATAGAGGAATTGGATTGATGAGGAATTGAATTGAGGAGGAATTAGATTAAGGAGGAGTCAGAATCAGATTATTGTTAAAGCTGTTTGCTTAAATGTTATGAAATTGGAGTAAAAATGAAACGAAATTCATATAAATTATATACCAATTCACCTGAATCGGAATAAAAATTAATATGATTACTAAACTATCCTTAATCTAAGTAATGGAAAATAAGTCTCCCAACAGCTTTCTAGAACCCCCACGGGTTCTCTACGTCATTTTATTTTTCTATTTTTATCCAGTTCCTTTTCACTTTGTTATCTTCGTCCGTTCCGCACTGTCTCGCTTGCCGCCGTCAATACAATGGCATCCCAAGTGGGAACCCGGGTTAGGTGCCTTACCGACAGCCTGAGGTGGTACCATGATTTCCGAAGCACAGCTGCCGCGTTAGCCCTCTGTTTGGATCGTGAGAATTTGGTATCCATTTTCCGGGAATCTGAGAGAAAGCTTGAGTGGTGAGACTTTCAGATGTTGAATCTCTCAGTACGCTGATACTGATGGACCAATCATTTAACAGAAAAACCGAACAGGTGGTGTGATAATGTCGGCTCATCTGGCGGTGGGTCGTCGTCCATTTTTGTAGGTAAAATAGCTAATAGAACGTCCTCTCTCTCTCTCTCTCTCAGTCTCTCTAGCTATTTCTCATTCTCTCCGTCTAAGCTTCAACTTTCTCGATCTGACGGGCAGCATATTGTTGAAGGGTAGCAGCAAAACTTCGGGTGGTTGAATCGTGGGAGGCAAATGGGAAGGGCAGGGTAATTTCGGTAGAGAAGTTTGATTCCGGACGTTGGCTTTCTTCCGGAAGTCAATTACCACCTTCAAGTCAGTATTTGGATTCCAAGGATATCAGGAATCCGTTTATTGATTTTGGGTGGAGCCCACTAATTTTTTCATTCCCAAAATTTGGTAAACGTCGAAATCATTTGGAGAGGAATTCAATTTCCCTTCTTCTACCTCCGTTTTAGTTCGGTAAATACGCCACAAAAGTTAGAAAAATACAAAAATAAATGTCTCAATTTGGTTTTAGACGGTGAAAATAAATGGAAGGCAGAGCATTTCCGACTCCTACCCTCAGTCAACGGCAAAGATCGGACCTTCCCCCAATCTAACGGTCAGCCCATCTCTCAACCTGTCCTCTTGTGCCCGGCTCTGATATCCCGATAAAACCAAGGGCTCTGCAACCGCTCTCTCAGACTCTCATATAGTCCCTACCTCTCCTCACTCTCCCTCTCTCTCCTGGCTCTGCTCTCTCTCTCTCTCTCTCTCCCCCCCCCCCTCTGAGCCATAGCCAGAACCACAGAGCAGCAGCCATGACTTCATCTTCATCTGTTACTCTGTCCCAGGCCCTCCTGGCCCGAGCCATTTCCCACCACGGCTCCAACTCCACGTCCGACCGGGTCTCCCTCTCCACAACCCTCACACTCCCCACTTTCTCCGGCCTCAAATCAGCTTCTTCTTCGTCATCACCGTCGTCTTCCCGCCTCCCCCGCCGCCGGCTTGGGGCCAACCGGCCGGTCCGGGCTGCCGCGGTCGAGACTCTGGACAAGACCACGGAGACGTCGTTGGTGGAGAAGTCGGTGAATACGATCCGGTTCTTGGCGATTGACGCTGTGGAGAAGGCCAATTCGGGTCACCCGGGTTTGCCCATGGGATGTGCTCCAATGGGTCATATTTTGTACGACGAAGTCATGAGGTACAACCCCAAGAACCCCTACTGGTTCAACCGTGACCGGTTCGTGTTGTCTGCTGGACACGGATGTATGTTGCAGTATGCTCTGCTGCACCTTGCCGGATACGACAGTGTAAAGGTGGGTTTTGTGTATTTTGTGTTTTTGAGTTGAAAAGTGATTTGGGTTTTGTGGATTTGGATTGAACTTTGGTGTTTTGGGTGGCGAATTGGATCACTGCTGGAGAATTGTTTTAGCTTTGAACTTAATCTTCTGATATTCTCTCCCTTTCTCTAGCTTTCTCTCTCTACACACATACATTAGATTTGGTTCTGCATGTTTGTTTGGGAAATTCATAATGCATGTAGCCCTTTGTTCCATTAGAGTTGCATCCAGCACTCCACATGTAAATTAATGTATGATTACTGTTAGCTTTGTTAATTATCGGATTTATTTCGTATGATTGACTGAATGTTGGTTATAAGCTGATGATTTGATTTCGGATCAATGAGTAGGAAGAAGATTTGAAGAGTTTCCGTCAATGGGGAAGCAAGACCCCTGGACACCCTGAGAACTTTGAGACACCCGGTGTTGAAGTCACAACCGGTTAGTTTCTCTTCCATTTTCGATATTTAATTGAGTAGTTCTGAGCTTGATGGTTAATTTGATTACTCTTAATAAAGGAAAACAATTAATAGCATTAGCTGGTATTCTTACGAGTATTTTCATTTTATGTAGGTCCCTTGGGGCAAGGTATTGCGAATGCTGTTGGTTTGGCTCTTGCTGAGAAGCACTTGGCTGCACGTTACAACAAGCCAGACAGTGAGATCGTTGACCACTACACGTAAGATTACCTTAACGTTTGAACTCTTGTTTTCTACCTTCTGCTGTTTTGATGTAAATCTTTAATGCTTTGGTTTTGCTTAGCAGTTTTGGTGTTGTTTCAATGCAGTTATTGTATATTGGGTGATGGCTGTCAAATGGAGGGTATTTCAAATGAAGCTGCTTCTCTTGCAGGACACTGGGGGCTTGGGAAGCTGATAGCCTTCTATGATGACAACCACATTTCCATTGATGGAGACACTGAGATTGCGTTCACCGAAAGTGTTGACACCCGTTTTGAGGGTCTTGGGTGGCATGTTATCTGGGTGAAGAATGGAAACACTGGGTATGATGAGATTCGAGCTGCCATTAAGGAAGCGAAGGCTGTCACGGACAAACCCACTTTAATAAAGGTCAGATATATGCTGCATTCTTTCTAGATTATCAAATATGTTCATTTGGATGTGATAGGATGGAAAACTATTTGTCTATTAACTGTTATAGTTCACTTAAGGTATCTACAATTTGTGGTATTTGATTTATCCAAATATGCATTCTGGCATTGTCTGCTGAAAGTGTTTTTCTTTTCTTTTTCCAGAACATGTCTAGTTGGTTCACTTTGATTTCACACTAATCAATGTCGTGTTGAACTTTTGCATTTTTTAGGTGACAACCACCATTGGTTTTGGATCCCCAAACAAAGCAAACTCATACAGTGTTCATGGTGCTGCACTTGGTTCCAAGGAAGTTGATGCTACCAGGAAGAACCTTGGATGGCCATATGAGCCTTTCCACGTGCCAGAGGATGTTAAAAGGTAAGGACCACTCCGTTTTAATTTCTATCTTTAATCAGTCTGTTAGCATTAATTACTCATCATCTTGTTTCTATCTTAGTCACTGGAGCCGCCATACCGCTGAAGGTTCTGCACTTGAAGCTGAATGGAATGCCAAGTTTGCAGAATATGAGAAGAAGTACGCAGAGGAAGCTGCAGAGCTGAAGTCCATCGTTAAGGGTGAGCTACCTGCTGGTTGGGAAAAAGCACTCCCGGTGAGTAGATTTTTTTTTTTTATTGCTCATCTTAGCTTATTTAGATATTTTATACGTGAGCTATTTGGAAATGAGCACAAACATGTTGGGGAAAGCATTCTGGATGGCATTGATATCACACCCTATTTTTTTCAGAGCCCTGCATTTGGATACTGTCTAGTGGGGGTAGAACTAACTTGGTCTGTTACAACCATTTTCTATATTAACGTATCTGTTTAAGATATGAAGGTCATCTTATAAGACCTCTTAATTGCAATTTTCCAGAGGTACACTCCTGAGTCCCCAGCTGACGCTACCCGAAATTTATCTCAAGCGAACCTTAATGCCCTTTCGAAGGTTCTTCCTGGTCTTATTGGTGGAAGTGCAGATCTTGCTTCTTCTAACATGACTTTACTGAAAAGTTTTGGAGACTTCCAGAAGAATACCCCAGAAGAGCGCAATGTAAGGTTTGGTGTAAGAGAGCATGGAATGGGAGCCATCTGCAATGGGATTGCCCTTCACAGCCCTGGCCTGATTCCTTACTGTGCCACTTTCTTTGTTTTCACTGACTACATGAGAGCTGCTATAAGGATCTCTGCCTTGTCAGAAGCTGGAGTTATCTATGTTATGACCCACGATTCAATTGGGCTTGGAGAAGATGGACCAACCCATCAACCGATTGAGCACCTGGCAAGTTTCCGGGCAATGCCCAACATTTTGATGCTCCGCCCAGCTGATGGGAATGAGACTGCTGGGGCATACAGGGTTGCGGTCCTTAACAGGAAGAGACCATCCATCCTTGCCCTCTCTCGCCAAAAGTTGCCCAATCTTCCTGGAACTTCCATTGAGGGAGTCGAGAAGGGAGGCTACACAATATCAGACAACTCTTCCGGTAACAAGCCAGATGTGATTTTGACGGCAACTGGATCTGAGTTGGAAATTGTTGCCAAAGCTGGTGATGAGCTCAGAAAAGAAGGGAAGACAGTTAGAGTTGTCTCCCTTGTTTCTTGGGAACTATTTGATGATCAATCAGATGACTACAAGGAAAGTGTCTTGCCGGCTGCGGTAACAGCTAGGGTTAGCCTTGAGGCTGGATCAACATTCGGGTGGCACAAGATTGTTGGAAGCAAAGGAAAGGCGATTGGAATCGATAAATTTGGGGCGAGTGCACCGGCTGGAAAAATATACAAGGGGTATGGCATCACTGTTGAGGCAGTTGTTGCAGCAGCAAAAGAAGTTAGCAGTTAAGATAACTGGTTATTTCGCAGATTTGGTTTTGGTTGGGGATCATCATCAGGGTAAAGAGGTCATATTCTTGTGATTTATTTCACGGGTACGGTCTCTTCTGTTTTAATAATAAAAATAATTTCGTTTTTCACGATGTTGCGTATAATTCTTGAATGAAAGCAACATAGATCAAAAAGAGAGAGAGAGAGAGAGAGAGAGAGAGAGAGAGAGGGTTAGGGTCATGTATTTTGTAACAGCTCTTGGACCAATCTTGAGTTTTGTAATGCTGTGTGGTTAAATTATTGAGTTTCACTTTTTCCATCTCACTTTCTTCACTTTGTAACTTAGAAAACTATGGGAATGCTGTAGGTAAAACAGTTAATTTTTCAGTTAAATAAATCTCTACCCTTCTCATTAGTACCAAATTAGAGAATTTGATTGGATCGGATAGGATAGGATTGGATATTGGATATTGGATATTGGATATTGGATATTTGTTTCAAGCCATTCAAAAATCAGTAGGGTGATATCCACATTTCTGGTCTGGGAACTACCTCCGGGAGGGGGGTCCCACATGTGGGTAACGAAGGGCAAATGTTGACCCTTAAGGTTTGTGGTAGTTGATGGTGTATGCCCTCAGCTTGCCTATCCATATTGTTTGTCTTTTTCTATTTCTGCCACCAAAAACTAGGTTGATAATTTGATATGGTTTGGAATGGGGTCATGGGTCATGGGTCATGGGTTAGCAAAAGTTGAGTGCAAGAGAAGACAGGTTGGTTGGTGGTTTCCTTCCTCCAATATCTTTTTCCCTGGAATTGAATTGAGAGTCAAGTTTGTTGTTGGCAAGTTGCAATGGACCCTGTTTAAGCATGAAGGTGCTCGGAGAATGCCAGCATATTCACCTATTGGGCATATTCTCTTTGGAATAATACTTGCACTTCCTTTAAAGAGGATGAGCTCATTCTTCCGCTTGCAAGTTGCAAATATCGTATTTCATAATTGGAACTATTTAATTCTTTAATCTTTATTTGAAGATTATCTTTACAAAAAAAAAAAAATCATTCGAATCAGAAGTTATTTAGTCATCTAAGTCTATCAAATAAATAACTGTTACTTGATACTTAAATTGTTGATTTTAATCCCCTCTAGTTGATCTTATTTATCGATAGTTTCCACTATCATGCAAACTTATAAGATGGTGTTATGTGAATATATGAAGTAAACGTGCCACCCATAATCACAAAGAATTTAGTGAGGTTCAACGAACATTGCCTACTCTTCGCTTGATCTCTCTTGAGAAATCACCTGCAACATTGCCTACAACTTGGTTACAAGAACTTATTGAAAACCCTTATGCTAAACCCAAAACCTTGTTTTAGATCTCTCTATCACTCTTGGCTCTCTAGTCTCTCTACCCTTGTTTTTTCTTAGCTGCTTGTATTATGTTCCCTATTCGTGTGAATAAACAACACCCAACAAGCCTATTTATAGTCCATAGACCATGGTTACATGCTTTACAAGTATATGATTATTAAATTCTTTTAGAATAGGAAAAACTAACTTATTTCCTAATCCAAAACTGATTGGAATTACAGAGAAAAACATATTTCCAACTTTTAGTTATCTAAGTATATCAAATAAATAAACTGTTACTCGATATCTAAATGGTTGATTTTTATCTCCCTTAGTTGATCTTGTTTATCGATAGTCTCCGGTATTATGCAAACTTATAATATGATGCTATGTGGATATATGAACAATACAGTAAACACGCTACACACAAACACAAAGAATTTAGCAAGGTTCATCGAACATTGCCTAATCTCTCTTGCGAAATCACCTGCAATATGTAGAATAACAACTTGGTTTCAAGAACTTATTGAAAGCCCTTATGCTAAACCCCAAAACTTGCTTTAGATCTCTCTATCACTCTTGGCTCTCCACCCTTGTTTTCTCTCAGCTGCTTGTATTCTGTCTGCTGTTTACGTGAATAAACAGCACCCGACAAGCCTATCTTAAGTCCTTTTAGAAAAGAGAAAACTAACTCATTTCATAATCCTAAACTGATTGGGACTAGAAAGAAAAACATATTTCCCAACTTTTACGGGAAGTAACCTGTGCACATTACTTCTCTTTTCTGAACACCAATTGAAAATTTGCACCTATTTGACCTTGATATTTTGACGAGCCAAATCACAACAATGGTGAAAAAGGAAAGGGATCCGGCTTCCATCAAATTCACCAAATCACATAATTTGGATTCTTAAAATTTGATCAAACGGTTAAAGTTATTATAATTTTTAAAGAGGTCCCCCTGTTTGTAATCGTTAAATTAAATTTCAAAAGTTTGAATTGATTGATTGGGTGAATTTGATGAAAGGGATCCTCTTCGAATCGCTTTCCAGTGAAAAAGATAGTGGTGGTGAGCCTTGGAATATACTGTATGCTTATATTATATTCCTCCTCTTCAGTCTTGAACGGTTGGTAAGGCAAGGTAATGACACAACCCTGGATATCGACAAATGACACGTACGTACCATATAGAGTAAGATGCTCGCGTGCTTATTATTTGTCACCTAAATCTCTTTATGCCTTTACTTGCATCTATCTAATATATTTATGCCTTTACTTGCATCTATCTACTACCAAACAATAAAAATATACATTATGTGATGTGATTATACCAACCCACATACACAGACGTCATAAAAACTTTGAAGTTATGCAAACCACTTAGTACTACAACCTAATGATATTCTTCTTCATTTGTGAGAGAAATTTTAGGTTCGATTTTTACTAAAAGCAACATTATTATGACAAGTTTATTGTAAAGCTTAGCCTACTTTTTCATTCCCTTAGTGTAGATACAATCGTTTGTTAAAAAAATATATATATATATATATTATGTTCAAACCTTTTTTTTTTTTTTTTTGGGGGGGGGGGGGGGGGGGGTGGGTGGGGGGCAGTAAAACCTTTTCTAATTTGACGACCTTGATTTTGAGAGACTTGGGTGTAAATGATATGGCCAGGGCCCACATAAAGTGGCCCAAGATGACCCGGACCCACATAAAGTGGCCCAAGATTGACTCCGGACCCCGGAAGAAGCCTGTGTTTGCATGCCAAGATTTATTCCTACAGTTTTGAAGAAATTATGGCGTATCACCAATTTCCTTTCATTCTTTTACTTCATTTCTAGTTTGGAAAATGATAAATTGATACTTTTTTTTAACTTTTCATACACTCATGTTCGGTCTTGATTGTTGTTTTTGTTTGATTTATTCAATTTGAAGATCAAAATAAAGAAGAGTGTGATAAACTAAAAGATGGGGAGGAGAATCATCACCCTTTATACATGTTGAAGAATATAAAATTGGAAATTTGACAAGATACAATGCAATTTATAAGTGACTAGTTATACTACTAATAATAATATCAGGTTTTGCTTTTAAAGATTGAGATAATGAATTAGTTTTGAAGTCATCATTTATGAGATTCAAGCATATAATCTCTAACTTAATAATGTAATCGTGTCAAATCTCGGTCTGGGACGGATCACTTCTTGAGCCCGCTCCACCACCGTAGCACGATATTGTTCGCTTTGGTCTTATCATTCCCTCACGGTTTTGTTTTTGGGAACTCACGAGCAACTTTCCAGTGGGTCACCCAACATGGGATTGCTCTAGCCTTCTTCTCGCTTAACTTTGGAGTTCCTACGGAACCTGAAGCCAGTGAGCTCCCAAAAGGTCTTGTGCTAGGTAGGGATGAGAATATACATTTAAGGATCACTCCCCTGGCGCGATGTGGGATGTTACAATCCACCTCCCTTAGGGGCCCGATGTCCTCGTCGGCACACACGCGGCCAGGGTTAGGCTTTGATACCAATTGTCACATCCCGGCCCGGAGCGGATCACTTCTCGGCCCCGCTCCACCACCGTAGCACGATATTGTCTGCTTTGTTCTTACCATTCCCTCACGGTTTTGTTTTTGGGAACTCACGAGCAACTTCCCAGTGGGTCACCCATCATGGGATTGCTCTAGCCCCCTTCTCGCTTAACTTCGGAGTTCCTACGGAACTCGAAACCAATGAGCTCCCAAAATGCCTCGTGCTAGGTAGGAATGGGAATATACATTTAAGGATCACTCCCCTAGACGATGTGGAATGTTACAAATGGTATAGTCAAATGCAAGTTGAAAAACACATTAATAAAAAGTGCATGGAGGACAAGATTTTATTAAATTTAATTGAAGCAATATGTTATCTTTATGCATGTATTTTTTATTTAATTGTAGAGCAATTTGATTGGTTCTTTTGGAGATGGATTGTCTGCCTTCTATTTCCATATTCTCCTCATGCTTTTTTATTTGTGTGGTCATGGTTAAACCACGTCCACATTTTATATTCCTATTACTTTTTGTTTTATTATTTCTATAAAAAAAAATTAATATAAAATGTTGATATAGCTTAACCATGACCACACATCACAAGAATGTATGAGAAGAGTATGGAAATAGAAGGGTAGATAATCCATCTCTAGTTCTTTTCACATGTTTAAGCGAAAAACACGTGCGTACATTTGTCGTTTTTTTCAATTTTCCAATGATATAGTTGAATTCCATGAAAAAAAAATTTATATAATTCAATTAAGAAGTTGGTTGCACATGTAAATCAATGCACGTATGGTGTTGTTGGCACAACACGTGCCATACTAGCACGTGTAGGTCATGACCAATCTTGAAAATTATAGCGCATATTGATAGGAGCATATTTATGCGCCTTAATTAGCTAGTTTTTATGCATTTTTGTTATGTTTTCTTCGTTAAAGTAGTCTTTTAAGCTACTTCCATGTGTTTTCAGGTTTAAAGGACATATTACATGAAATGATGCAATTTGGAGCTTTTGAAGCAAAAACTGAGCTGGAATGTGGTGTATGCAAATGGAGCACGAGGAATGGACGTGATTGAAGGTCAAAGGAGTTCAAGAAATGAAGAAATGAAAGTGAAGAGCAAAGAAGTCGGAATTGGCAACCAAAGTTTCTAAAGTTGGAAGTTTCTATTCTTGGAGGTTTCCATTGTCGTGAGTTTCTATTCTTGGCTTTGGGCTTTTAGATGACCTAAACCCTAACTCCTTGTGGACCCTAAGCCTATGCCGCACCTAATGTTCTAGTTTTAATCTTAGCCATTCACCCACCACTCTAATTATTCACCCTAATTCTTAACAGCTGCAGCACCATATCCCCCTTTTTCCCCATTCATTCACAAAACCGTAGCATCCATACACCATTCTCTTAAAAAGCCACAGCCATCATCCCATAAATTCTAAA